AAAAAAAAAAAACTCAGCCCATAATCATTACTATTAGAGCACGTTTGTTAAGTTAGACTAGATTAGACAATTTTTATCTTGTTAATCAAGATTGTACTGTTAAGATTATGTGTCATCTATGGGCACGTTTGTTAGCCTAGATAGGATAGGATTACGCCTCCAATCCACCCCTAATCTCATGTTTGTTTACCATGATTCCGGCCCGCAAGATAGGACAAGGCCCGCGATGAACAGTGTTAAAATCGTGGGAAACGGAGACTAATGAATCTTGGCTGAGGGGTGAGATAACTTTGATCTGCACAGTAAAATATATGCAAAAGTACAAATATATCCCTAAAAGTAAAAATTATTGATCATATTAACCTCTTTTGTTGCCAAAATTACCCCTTCCATCCTTTCCCCTTCTCTACACGCGACTGCACCCTGTTCAAATTTTCTCCATCCCAATTCCCAAATATTTATTCAGATTTTTTGTTTTTTTCCTTTATTTCTTTAATTCTTTCCACCCCTAATATTATGTTCCTCACTGTCACTGCAGATTGAAGACGCTTTTTTTCTAATTATGTTTTAATTCCCTTTATTTTGCAATTTGTTTTCAAGAGAGCCACGATTTTGGGTTGGATCCAGTCTAAGAACTAGAAGAAGAGTGACGATGGAGATGGTAGAAATCGGTCGGGGGCGAAGATTTCGGAAGAGGAGTAGCGACAACGAGAGGAAGAAGGCTAATTTGCTCAATTTTTATTTTCTTTTTGTTCTAGGGTTTCAGAAAGTGTGGGTCGAGGTTGTCGAGCCAGAGCAGCGCAGAAGAGGCAATCAACGAGAGGTCAGCTTTCATTAAAAAATTCCTAGCTTTGTGGATTATGTTGGAATTGGGAATTTTGCGTTTTTCGATTATTCTACTGGAAAACTTCTTGGCTTTGCACTTGTAATTTTCAGGGGTTTCTTTCGGAATGTAAACTAAAATGGTTTAAGTATTTCAAGAATTTCTGTGTGGTGTTTCTAGGTTTATTTGTTTCTATATCGTAAGCTCAAATAAGGAGAAAACGAAGAGTGTGGAGGTTGTTGACTTGTGTGTGTGTGTATTTTATTAGGGAAATTGAATTCTAATCATTTGTGGATTTTGAAGATAGTTTCAGGGAATGTATGTTCTTATTCAGTTTCTGGAGACATATGCAAAGTTAGTATTTTTGTTAGTGCATTGAAGCAAGATATATGCTCGTTGCGATAGAGATGGATAAATACGAAAGCCTAGAGATCAGACGGAGATCCCCGAGTTAGCCCTCTTACACCTCCCTGGCGGACTTTTCAGGATCCGCCTTCGCCGTCTATCAACGACCTTGTTTTTCCGGCGAGTTCGTAAGCCTTGAAGATGTAATTAGCTCCTTCCCTGTGGACGAGCACAAATCGATTAGTTGATCAGGTGTTTAGGTCCTTTCAATTCTACCATGCTCCCGTTGTTTGTCTATGGAGTTGCTTCGGCTATGAAAACAAGCATCGTTCTCAGCACATTCAAGCACTTGAAGTGCCTGTTCGTGTACTGTTGTTGCATAACCTGCTGCAGTCCGAGAATATTGTTCGAGGAAAAGGTTCAATAAAGGACCCTGACAAAGTATGTGGTCTAATGTGATGTCTAATTACAAAATAAGTATACATTTTGTTCATGGATGCATAGGTTAAATATGCTATAATAATTGTTTAATTAATGATATATGTTGAGAATTTTCTCCATTACTGCTCCTGTTATTTGCAGGAAGAGAAGTTACGTGGACGTCCAGACTATGAAACGTGTAAAAACAGGACGTTGAGTTGCAAATCATTAAGTTGTTCAGTCATCAACTGAGTCATACTTGTCACATGTCATATGGCATTTAGGCGAACAGGATATCGTGGTTGATACGTGATTGGTTTTCTTTGCTCCTAGTTTCTCAAATGGAATATAAGAACAGGAAGATGAGAGAAGACCAAAAACAAAATGAAGTTTCTTAAATTGTTGATCTTAAAGTGGGTTGTGGCTATGTTTGTTTATGTAACATTATTCATTGAATTGATTCTTGTGTTAGTGTGAATTGTTATTGTTATTGGTACTGAGTAGTGAGTACCTTCAAGAACTCACAGATTTTGTAAGCAATTTGTGACAACAAACGACTATTTTAAACGTGATTTTGGGACACTTAAAGCCTCAGCAAGCTCTAATATTTTGTTAAAACAATCAGTTGTGTGCAGTGAGACATTGCTGGCGGACAGAACTATAATGTCTCTAGTTATTTAATTTTTCCTGCATTGAGTTGTGGCTATGTATAATACTATAATGTCATAAATGTTACTATCTACTTCATTGTGATTTCCTTGTACTATATAATATTATTTGGGTAGGATTATTCGACTTTGACGGTTGTTTTCTGCTATGAATTGTATAATAATAAGGTCCTTGAATAAGATTTCTTAATTTCTGCTTTGAGTTGTTTTCTGCATTGTGAAAAGATTGAGTTGTTTTCTACATTGTGAAAATATAAGATTTCTTAATTTCTTGAATAATAATAAGGTCCTTCAAGTATGAAAATATATGATTTCTTAATTTCAAGGTGTTGGTTCATATAAACCCCAATTTCAATGAGAGAAGTACAAAACCAAAAAAAATAAAATAAAAAAAAATATGAACATAAGCAGAAAAACGTAACTTAAACACATAAAAAAGACAAAAAAGTGTCATGAGTTTTAATGTGTTTTAAATTGAGGACATTTTGGTAATTCACAATTTTTATCATATATCTTATCTAGGGAAATAAATGTGAAACACAAAAATTAACACTTGGACCAATCTTTCTTAACAAACATAGAGCATGTTTGTTAAGTTAGACTAGATTAGACAATTTTTATCTTGTTAATCAAGATTGTACTGTTAAGATTATGTGTCATCTATGTTTGTTAAGAAAGATTGGTCCAAGTGTTAATTTTTGTGTTTCAAATTTGTTTTCCTAGATAAGATATATGATAAAAATTGTGAATTACCAAAATGTCCTCAATTTAAAATACATTAAAACTCATGACACTTTTTTGTCTTTTTTTATGTGTTTAAGTTACATTTTTCTGCTTATGTTCATATTATTAATTTATTTTTTTTTTTTTGGTTTTGTACTTCTCTCATTGAAATTGGGGTTTATATGAACCAACACCTTGAAATTAAGAAATCATATATTTTCATACTTGAAGGACCTTATTATTATTCAAGAAATTAAGAAATCTTATTTTTTCACAATGTAGAAAACAACTCAATCTTTTCACAATGCAGAAAACAACTCAAAGCAGAAATTAAGAAATCTTATTCAAGGACCTTATTATGATACAATTCATAGCAGAAAACAACCGTCAAAGTCGAATAATCCTACCCAAATAATATTATATAGTACAAGGCAATCACAATGAAGTAGATAGTAACATTTATGACATTATAGTATTATACATAGCCACAACTCAATGCAGGAAAAATTAAATAACTAGAGACATCATAGTTCTGTCCGCCAGCAATGTCTCACTGCACACAACTGATTGTTTTAACAAAATATTAGAGCTTGCTGAGGCTTTAAGTGTCCCAAAATCACGTTTAAAATAGTCGTTTGTTGTCACAAATTGCTTAAAAAATCTGTGAGTTCTTGAAGGTACTCACTACTCAGTACCAATAACAATAACAATTCACACTAACACAAGAATCAATTCAATGAATAATGTTACATAAACAAACATAGCCACAACCCACTTTAAGATCAACAATTTAAGAAACTTCATTTTGTTTTTGGTCTTCTCTCATCTTCCTGTTCCTATATTCCATTTGAGAAACTAGGAGCAAAGAAAACCAATCACGTATCAACCACGATATCCTGTTCGCCTAAATGCCATATGACATGTGACAAGTATGACTCAGTTGATGACTGAACAACTTAATGATTTGCAACTCAACGTCCTGTTTTTACACGTTTCATAGTCTGGACGTCCACGTAACTTCTCTTCCTGCAAATAACAGGAGCAGTAATGGAGAAAATGCTCAACATATATCATTAATCAAACAATTATTATAGCATATTTAACCTATGCATCCATGAACAAAATGTATACTTATTTTGTAATTAGACATCACATTAGACCACATACTTTGTCAGGGTCCTTTATTGAACCTTTTCCTCGAACAATATTCTCGGACTGTAGCAGGTTAAGCAACTACAGTACACGAACAGGCACTTCAAGTGCTTGAATGTGCTGAGAACGATGCTCGTTTTCATAGCCGAAGCAACTCCATAGACAAACAACGGGAGCATGGTAGAATTGAAAGGACCTAAACACCTGATCAACTAATCGATTTGCGCTCGTCCACAGGGAAGGAGCTAATTACATCCTCAAGGCTTACGAACTCGCCGGAAAAACAAGGTCGTTGATAGACGGCGAAGGCGGATCCTGAAAAGTCCGCCAGGGAGGTGTAAGAGGGCTGACTCGGGGATCTCCGTCTGATCTCTAGGCTTTCGTATTTATCCATCTCTATCGCAACGAGCATATATCTTGCTTCAATGCACTAACAAAAACACTAACTTTGCATATGTCTCCAGAAACTGAATAAGAACATACATTCCCTGAAACTATCTTCAAAATCCACAAATGATTAGAATTCAATTTCCCTAATAAAATACACACACACACACACAAGTCAACAACCTCCACACTCTTCGTTTTCTCCTTATTTGAGCTTACGATATAGAAACAAATAAACCTAGAAACACCACACAGAAATTCTTGAAATACTTAAACCATTTTAGTTTACATTCCGAAAGAAACCCCTGAAAATTACAAGTGCAAAGCCAAGAAGTTTTCCAGTAGAATAATCGAAAAACGCAAAATTACCAATTCCAACATAATCCACAAAGCTAGGAATTTTTTAATGAAAGCTGACCTCTCGTTGATTGCCTCTTCTGCGCTGCTCTGGCTCGACAACCTCGACCCACACTTTCTGAAACCCTAGAACAAAAAGAAAATAAAAATTGAGCAAATTAGCCTTCTTCCCTCTCGTTGTCGCTACTCCTCTTCCGAAATCTTCGCCCCCGACCGATTTCTACCATCTCCATAGTCACTCTTCTTCTAGTTCTTAGACTGGATCCAACCCAAAATCGTGGCTCTCTTGAAAACAAATTGCAAAATAAAGGGAATTAAAACATAATTAGAAAAAAAACGTCTTCAATCTGCAGTGACAGTGAGGAACATAATATTAGGGGTGGAAAGAATTAAAGAAAAAAAGGAAAAAAACAAAAAATCTGAAGAAATATTTGGGAATTGGGATGGAGAAAATTTGAACAGGGTCCAGTCGCGTGTAGAGAAGGGGAAAGGATGGAAGGGGTAATTTTGGCAACAAAAGAGGTTAATATGATCAACAATTTTTACTTTTAGGGATACATTTGTACTTTTGCATATTTTTTACTGTGCAGATCAAAGTTATCTCACCCCTCAGCCAAGATTCATTAGTCTCCGTTTCCCACGATTTTAACACTGTTCATCGCGGGCCTTGTCCTATCTTGCGGGCCGGAATCATGGTAAACAAACATGAGATTAGGGGTGGATTGGAGGCGTAATCCTATCCTATCTAGGCTAACAAACGTGCCCTTACATCATAATATATCAAACAATATCAAACAACTTAAATCTCATTTCACTATGTAAAATTATACATCCGTGTCAGCAGTTATAGTAATAAATAAAAAATATATATTTGTATTATTTAACAACAATATCTGTAGGTCGAAATACTATATAACAAATTTCAAGAAAATATATATATGCATACGTTCATATTCTAATGGCAAAAGAAAGCATTATACTTACTGCTACTGCAATCAGTATCAGGAGCAGGAGCAGGAGCAGGAGAATCATCACATTGATAACTCTGGCCACCATTCAGTTCAGGAAAATCAAAATAAGAAAACAAATCATATTCGCAATTAGTAAATGTAAATATGATGGAAACAGAAAAATGTTTTTTCCTTTTTTCTTGGGGGGTATAATTACCATCTTATTCCTTGACTATTCTTGATCAAATGCAAGAACTCGTAACAATAGTATGAGTTAAGAAAAAGTACGTCAAACACACAAATGTATATATGTAGAGAACAGGCTAAGAACACTCACCTTGGATATCTGCAGCGTACAAATGGCAATAATTAGGCAGGCAACAAACTTGGCCATTTTGGAGAGATAATATTATAGAGTGAAATTTAGAGCAATATATTCTGCCACTTGTAAATGGAGGTTAAGTTACCCACTCTTATATAGATATGTTGATTGGGTAAGGAAAAATTAGTTGGTAAAATAAAGTTAATTGAAGAATTAGTATTTTTTAATATAAAATAATGTAACATAATAGTACGAGAACGTAGTTGATAGACCAAGAACATTCCCAAATTTGACTAAAGTCTTTCATTTTATTTAAACTTTAATTTTTTTTTTAAGAAACACAGATGGGAGATAACTAACAAGTTCCCTTATTAGTACTTTATTTTACATTTTAATAATACAAAACCATTATTGGCTTGGGAGATAACTAACAAGTTCCCTTATTAGTACTACTTTATTGTACATTTTAATAATACAAAACCATTATGGGCTTGTCTAAAAAGTCAGGTGAATACACTGCTCATAGAGCAATTTGATTGACGTTTTCATACCCTAAGGTCTAAATAATCAAGTGCAGATATTTAATTTTGAGAAAAAAAGATTTCATGCTAATCATATCGCGCTATATTGAATAAATTATGGCGTGGTCATTGAAATATCTATTGAAATTCAATTCTCGTCCAATGTAAAAAATAGTATGGCATGTCAAAAGAAATCATTATTCCTTGAATGCTACTTTTTAATTACGGCTAGTGGAAAGGTTGAAGAGACGTTGGACAAAAATTTATCCAAAAAATCGATCATATTCACTACTAAACTTCGGTACATTAGTAATGAATTTTTGTAACGAATTAATATTGGTGCCATAATTACAGTATTGGTAACATAATTTTGCAAAAATTTAAAATGGTGTCATATTTATAGTAACATGTCTGACCGACGGTTTAGGCCCAACCGCACAACCATCGGTTTTGCCTCGCTGCCGGAAGAGGTGGAGCTCAGTTTGCCGCCGTTAATCTGGCCATCTCCGACCAGGGCCGGAGCCAAGGAGTGGCTCACCTAGGCTCCAGTCTGGTCTTAGTTTTTTTGTTTTATTTAAATATGTAGTAGTAAAAAATTATTTTACCCATGTTTTATTAATTTAATTTATGATAAAATTATTTAGTTTATATCAATTTAAATTTATTTTATATTAAACCAAAAAATTATACATATTTTTCAAAAAATTATTAGTACTTTATTTTACATTTTAATAAGACAAAACCATTATGGGCTTGTCTAAAAAGTCAGGTGAACGCACGTTCATAGAACATTTTGATTGATGTTTTGTCTTTGACACTCTTAAGGTCTAAATTATCAATTGCGGAGATTCCAATTTTGAGAAACAAAGGTTTCATACTAATCACATCGTGGAATAAGTATGGCATGATCATTGAAATGTCTATTGAAATTTAACGTGTTAAAAGAGTCTTTGACACTCTTAAGGTCTAAATAATCAATTGCGGAGATTCCAATTTTGAGAAACAAAGGTTTCATACTAATCACATCGTGAAATAAGTATGGCATGATCATTGAAATGTCTATTGAAATTCAACGTGTCAAAAGAAATTATTCCTTGAAGGCTTGAACCCTACTTTTTAATTAGGGTTAGTGGTTATCTCCAACTGGAGTTGTCAAAATAGGCAGGCGGGGTGGGCCGACTCGTAGCCTGCAATTGGCAGGGCGTGATGGGCTGACCAACCATCTTGGTGGGCCTGCAAAATGCAGACCCAATCGGCCCCCTTCTCGGGCCGCGCATTTGGTTGGCTAGGCTCACCACTTTTTTTTTCTTAACAAAAATATGATTTAATTTCGAGAAAAAAATAAGATAAAACCCAAGATTTTCAAAATGTAACCCACGTGTCCCAAGCCAACGCCCAGCACTACAGAATCAACCACAAATTTATACATGAGAAACAAAGTCACACAACATCACCAAAAAGAAAAATACATTTGACAAAATTGATATGAAAAAAAAAAATCGAAAGCCTACGAATTGCATAATTGGTGAAGATGCGCGGGCGCACAGCAAGGATGGAGGTGCACGGTGGGGGGCTGAGAGCGCACAACAAATGTAGAGGCGCACGGCGGAGGGCAGAGGGTGGAGGGCGAAGGGTGGAAGCCTAACATATTTGCTAAAATCATAAGAGAGAACATGATAATGGAAGAAAGAAAGTTTTCTGTATCATCGTAGAAATTGTTTACAGAGAATATATAGAGATTACAAGAGAGAAAATCAAATAGAGATAAGATCATATCAAATCAAATATCTAGATACTAAAGATAACTATGGGAATATCTTCCATATATATTTATCTGTTACACCCCCCTCAAGTTGGTGCATGAAGATTCCGAATGCCCTACTTGTTGAGAAAGTTCGTGAATTCTTGTCCACCTAAGGCCTTAGTAAAAATATCTACCAGCTGAGCCATGGTGGAAACATAACGAGGAGCAATAAGGCCCTTCAATAGTGCGTTACGAACAAAGTGGCAGTCAATCTCAATGTGTTTAGTGCATTCATGGAACACGGGATTGGAGGCAATATGCAAAGCTGCCTTACTGTCACAATGGAGAGAGACTGGATATGAATGATCAACACCAAAACATCCCAGAAGGGATTTCAACCAGGTCAGCTCACAAGTGGTAGAAGCCATGGAGCGATATTCTGCTTCGGCGGAAGAGCGAGAGACAGTAGATTGTTTCATTGTCTTCCACGAGATGGGCGAGGATCCGAGTTGGATGATCCAACCAGTGAGAGAGCGACGCGTAAGTGGGCATCCCGCCCAATCAGAGTCACACCAAGTAGTAAGACGTAAATCAGAATCAGCGGGGAAGAAAATGCCCTGACCAGGACGACCTTTCAAATAACGCACAACACGAAGAGCAGCATCCCAATGATCCTGGAGAGGATTGTGCATAAACTGAGACAAAACATGGACGGAATAAGACAAGTCTGGTCGGGTGACAGCAAGATAAATAAGCCTTCCGACCAAACGCCGGTATTTTTATGGATTCGATAGTGGAGGACCAGTGAGAAGCGGAAGCTGATGATTTTGCTCCAATGGAAAGGAGGCCGGCTTAGCCCCGAGAAAACCAACCTCGGACACTATGTCAAGAGTATACTTCCTCTAGCACAAGAAAATGCCAGAGGAATTGCGAGCGACTTCCAATCCCAGGAAGTATTTCAAAATGCCGAGATCCTTCATATGAAAGCAACGACTTAAATAAGCCTTAAAGGAAGAAATAGCCCCACTATCATTCCCGGATATGATTAGATCATCAACATAAACGAGAACGTGCAGTTGAACACCATCGCGGCACAAGGTAAAAAGAGAATAATCGGCATAATATTGACGAAAGCCATATTGGCGAAGTGCCGTAGTGAGTTTCGCAAACCAGCACCGAGGAGCCTGCTTAAGGCCATATAGGGACCGCTTCAAGCGACAAACAAGATTAGAAGACTTAGACCGAAAACCAGGAGGCAATTTCATGTACACCTCTTCATCAAGATCACCGTGCAGAAATGCATTGTGAACATCCACCTGATGTAATTCCCATTGTCGGGCAGCAGCAATAGCCAAAAAGATTCGAAAAGTCACCATTTTGGCGACGGGAGCAAAGGTCTCGGTATAATCAACACCCTCGACCTGTTCGAATCTTTTTGGCAGTCACCATTTTGGCGACGGGAGCAAAGGTCTCAGTATAATCAACACCCTCGACCTATTTATTCCCAAGGATAACCAAACGAGCTTTGTATCGTTCAATGGACCCGTCAGACCGATGTTTGATACGGTACACCCATTTACATCCAATAGCATTTTTACCATGAGGAAGCGAAACAAGATTCCAAGTGTGATTGTGCTCAAGAGCCTCAATTTCAGACTGCATGGCAGAACGCCAATTAGAATCAGCCAAGGCCTCGGTAAGGGTCCGCGGATCGACAGAGGCCTCTATAGCTGCCAAGAAAGTCTTATGTGCAGATGAGAAAGCAGTACTATCAACAAAATGAGCTAAGGGATATGGTGTACCTGAGGACGATGAAGTGGGTGAGGAGTGAACTGGGGGGGAAATAATAGTGTTGGTGACATGATCACGCAGTCTGACGGAAGGAAACTTCGTCTGGCGGCCTCGACCCAAGAGCTCATTGGACACCATAGAGTCAGAACCCCCCCTGACTATAGTAGTCCCAGAAGGAGATGAGGATGTGGGATCGAGAGAGGCGATTGGCTCAGAATCAAGCATAGGTGAAGACGCGTCATCAATAACAGGCCATGGTGTAGAAGAAGGAAGTGGGACAGAGTTAGTCTCAGAGTCAGGTGGCGTAGAAAACGGGAATTGATCCTCACAGAATTTAACATCTCTAGAGACCAAAAACTGTCGAGTGTCAAGATCAAAAACAGACCAGCCCTTCTTCCCAAAGGGATAGCCTACAAAGATACACTTCTTGCTACGACTAGCAAATTCATCCCCCGAATGATCCAAATTATGAACAAAGCACAAGCAGCCAAAAACACGAAGATGTGTAAGAGAAGGCCATTTTCCAAAAAGAACTTCATAGGGACTTTTCCCACGTAGGACTTCAGTGGGAGTACGGTTTATTAAATATCAGACACAGTGTCCCCAAAATTCAATGGGCAAATTAGCCTGAAAACGCAGAGCACGTGCCACGTTAAGGATGTCGCGATGCTTGCGTTCCACTCGACCATTCTGCTGGGGGGTTGCAACACAAGATGTCGTGTAAAATACCGTTTTCCCGAAAATATGAGGTGAGACACATAAACTCAGTCCCATTATTGCTTCGAACAACTTTTACCAATCTATTAAATTGTCGTTGCACTATGGAAAATAAACCAATTAAAGTATCAAAAACACACCTTTTGTCATTCAACAAATAAAGCCACACAACTCGAGAAAAATCATCAATAATTGTCAAAAATATCTAGCTCCAGAAAACGAGGGGACTCGATAGGGACACCATAAATCACAATGAATCAAAGCAAAAGGTTCCAAACTGGTACTTGCACTCAAAGGAA